GTCCAGACACACTCTGCCTCTCACCTCCAGCCTGAAGTCGAGTGTGGAGCTGCCACTCCAGGCTGCTGGTTTCATTTTCATCTGAACATGATGCTTGACATCCGGTGATCTATTTTTTCTAAAAACTAGGTTCACTTTAGAAATGACTCTTTGGCCATCGAGACAGCTTCCCCAGGAGAAAACAAATTGTTATTTAAAGGGAACAGCAGCCTGGTGGGAGCCTATATTTTTGTTTTGTGTTAAAAGGAGGGGAAAAAGAATTTAGAATGTAATGTGAAACTTTTTTTCCCCTTTGGGTGATTTAAAGGGAACTCTGCAAGTCTGTGACTACCGACCCAGGGCCCTCAGACATTATATGCCGGGCACTGAGTCTGCCAGAGGTCACACAGATAGTAGCAGATTAGCAGATATATTTGTAAGAGGAAGGAAGGGTGAGCTGGGGGTGCATGTAGTGGTGGGAACCCTACCCCACAGAACCAAAATTTTCCTCCTAGAGCCCTGAACAAAGAGGAACAAGTCCTGCTCTGCAGGCATGGCTCAGTAGCTGAGCGTTGACCTATGAACCAGGGGGTCACAGTCCGATTCCTGGTCAGGGCACATGCCCGGGTTTGTGGGCTTGATCCCCAGTGTGGGGTGTGCAGGAGGCAGCCGATCAATGATTCTCTCTCATCATTGATGTTTCTATATCTCTCTCTCCCTCTCCCTTCCTCTCTGAGATCAATTATATATATATATATATATATATATATATATATATATATATAATGTATATTATAAAATATATATATTATGAAAGAGGAACAAATTCTTGCTGACTTATCTTCGACACAGTATTATCCTTTTTCACCTCCAGAATTAAGGTTGGGACCCACTCCACCACATGGAGGACACAGAAGGCCCTAGAAAGGTCCAGCTGTGCCTCTGGCTCAGAGTCCTAGGAGGGCGAAGGGCACCCATGGTTTAGAACAGCCGTGGGCAAACTACGGCCCGCGGGCCGGATCTGGCCCGTTTGAAATGAATAAAATTATTGAAAAAAAAGACCGTACCCTTTTATGTAATGATGTTTACCTTGAATTTATATTAGTTCACACAAACACTCCATCCATGCTTTTGTTCCGGCCCTCCGGTCCAGTTTAAGAACCCATTGTGGCCCTCGAGTCAAAAAGTTTGCCCACCCCTTGTTTAGAATCACCAACCCTGACCAGGTAGAGCCTGGGCCTTTTCAGGCTCATTGGGAGGGTGGTGAGGGCATGGTTTGGTGTAAGGCAGGGGCAACTTGACAGCTAGAACCTCCTGACAAGAAATGTCGCCCTGGAGGTCCTGCTGAGAAAATGACTCGCCCTGTCAGGCAGGCTGACCCGTCCTGACATCATCTTACAGAAAACAGGTCTAGTCAATGTGGTAATTGGCAACTACTGCTACTGCTATTACTACTACTACTACTACTATCACCAACAACGTTTACAGCCTAACAGCACCATTTACAGCTGTCGTATTCTGTGGCTTATTATATGCCAGGCACTGAGTTTGCCTGAGGTCACAGATAGTAGCAGACCTGGATCTGATCCAGGTCTGTCTGACCTGACAGCCTAAACCCCCACATTTGACACAGAGACACCATGGACTTGCTATATTGCTCTGGATATATCACTTCACCACTCTGCCTCAATTTCTGCATCTGTAAAATGGGGCTGAGCATAGGCTATGCTATTCATCTGTTGGTCTTTTAATAATAATAACTGTGAATAATTGATATCGATTAATTATTAATGACATATTAATATTTTTAAATATATATAGCTAGATAAATAAAGAAGCTACCCTGGTTTAGTTACATTCAAAATTGACATTTTTTTGGGGGGGGGGCAGAAACAATTTATCTTTTCATGAGTAAGTTAGTAGAAAAGGCAGTGAACTTGATGTCAGGAAATAAGGGTTTAGATTCTGGGCATGACACTGATTTCCTGAGTAATCTCATCTACTTTATTTCTCTTTATGAGATTTTACTTTCCTGACCTCTGTCCCTGTCTTTCTTTATAGGAGTATTGTGAGAAAAACACAAAAAATAGCTACTAAGCACCATTATTCTTGATGCCATATAATTTCAAGGGATTTATATCAGGAGGAAAAGGGATTAAAGGATATAAAATAGCAAGAAGGGAAGAGAATCATTGAAATCAAAATGCAAAGAAGGGCGCACAGGTCACTGAGGAAAAATGGCTTTTCTCTGCATCGTCACTCAGGCAGTAAGACAAGCCCACGGCCAAGGCCCCTTACCCATCACACTGCAATGTCTTGCTCAGCTCAACTGAGATGTTCTACTCCATGATTTGCCCTGTGCGTGGCCTTCCATTTCTAAGCTACTGCTTTCAGCATTTCAGTCAGCATCACCAAGTACATGCAAAGCTCTCACACATGCATCACTGTGAGCACGCGCCCTTTCCCTTAAAGATGCTCACCCCCACTTTTCCCTTCCTGGGAATCTTGGCATGCAGAGGCCAGAGGGGCTGGCTGATCTTTAGAGCTCCCCAAATCCAGTGACATGGAATTGACCCCCTCCCTGCTAATTTCACACCGTGCCATCTAAAGGGCCTGTAATGTTCACATGTTTCCAGTTTAACTGAAATACTAAAATGGGGCAAACAGGAAGCATCAGACACAACTGCGGTAGTGACTTATTAATCATGAAAGCAGAATTTTAGTTGCCTCTTAACCTTTTGCCAGGGGGAAAAAAACAGCTCTGAGAGGATGGAAGCCATTGGTAGAATATGCTGTCTATATGTGTTACCAAGCTGACTTTTACTTTTAATTTAGGAATTTGCTTTTAAGATTTCTTAACTCTCCACCCAGAAAGAACATCCATAAGTCAACCAACATGACATCTGTCAGCTCTTGATCACTGCGGGCAGACCTGTTAGGAAAGCTCATGTGCTATCCACTGACACAGGAAAAAATAGGAAATTCAGAGTAACTTCACAGGCCAGAGTGATAAGACAGGGTTGAGGGTGCCAACAATGAAGATAACAACCCGGGAGGAAGCTTTACCTCATTCACATCCCCACAGACCTCTCACCAGAGCCCCGCCAAGATGAACTCTTATCACGCACCCCAAAAAATCACAACAGTTGCCTGGAGTTGGACAGCCCATCAGGACAAGCTTGCGTCTCCACATTCAGTGATATACAAACACTCCAAGAATATCACAAAGAAGTCAGTGTTCAACAGGAGAACCAAAATGAGGAAGCAAGCCTCCATCTGTTGAGGGGCAACGGCCAACCAGACATTTTTGTTTAATAGACGAAGGCTCATTTGGCAAGGTCTCTTGTCTGTGGTGCCACTCCCACAAGCTCTAACAGACAATACTAGGGGCAACCCTCCCCCCCTCCCACATTCAAAACTGCTCCTTATATCCTGAAAACAGAAGATAACCTAAAGTTTGGCAACCTATGGTCTGATTTCACGAAAGTGCTAGGACATATACCTGGATACATATTTCTACAATTAAAGTCAGAGATTATTACGTTTATTTTGAGACCTTCTGAGAAGTTCACCACGCCCTTCAAAATAAATGAGGATGCCCCAAAGGTGTCTGAGAAAAGCAGAGGTCTGGCATTGCTGCACCAAAGGAACTGACTTTGACATCACTTAAAAACACCAAGCGTGGATCCAAACACATCGTAAGCAAGACAAGCACCTGTCCACCTGTCCTCTCGCGCTAGGAGCAGAACACCACACCAAACACTTCTCCCTCCTTTCTGCATCTCAGTCCCAGATTGTGGTCCTGGTCCGGGGGGAGAGCTGGAGAAGATTCCAGTGTCCTAGGCTTTTGGCATTTCTATATGCCCCCTCCCCCCTCAGGTGCCTTACCTGTAAGAGACAATGTTATCTGTCTCATCACACAGGTTCTAAAGGAAAAAGGAGGTTACAGGTATGAAGATACTCAGTAAAAGAAACACATCTCTAATGTTAAGATATTATCTCTCCTTCTAGTCAAGGGGTTTTCAGCATTTTTCCTGGAATAAACTTCAGACTGCTAGTTTGCACTAGGCCCCACCTCTCCTCATTTCATTTTACTTGCCTTTAGAGTTCCTAGTCAAGTCACCGGTGTTCACTGTCTCTCCATTTACCAAAAACTGAATTCGGTTACCTTCCCTCCATTCATCCTCTCCCCGACCTTCCTCATACTCATGGCCCAGTCCATCCTTTAGGACGGAGAGCAACTTTTTTACTTTAATAAGGAAGGTGCCGCCTTTTTCTGAAGTTACCCAGCATCAGGAGGCTCCTGGCCAGGTGGGGCTCTCTGCACTGTACCAGTGGCCCCTTTCTGCCTGGGGGCAGTGGCTGCAGGTTGCCAGGGGCCACAGTGGGCTTCCGCGATGGAAATATTCTATTGGAGCCGACAGATGAAGTCCCCAGGCGTCGGGGGACGCAGGAGGATGCTGCGAGCGGCCAGCCAGCTCCGCCGAACGCCAAGGGCAGGTCTGCGCCTTCTCCCCGCCCGGGGTGTGCGATCGAGAACTTCCCAGGGCAGCCGGAGGGTCTCACTGACCCGGCAGACAGGGGGCAACGCGGCCGGGGAGCGCTTGTGCATCAGCCGCCTTCCGCCGCGCCGAGGCGAGCCCCCATCCTACCGGGCACCCAGGGGACCGGACAGGAGCGGCAGGCCTGGCGGCGGGGACAGCTGAGCACAGGGGAATCGGGGTGCTGGGGAAAGGGAAGCAGGGCGCCCCCGCGCGCGCTTCGGGCAAGAGTGTCGCCCGCGGGGATGCGGGGCGAGCGCGGCGTGCGGCCGTGGCCCTAGACGCGTGGTGAGGCGCGCCGCCGACCAGAGACCCCCGGGGCCCAGGGCCCGCGCGCGAGTGGACTCGTCCAACCGGCCGCGCCGCTGACCCCCACCATTCTAGGGCGGCGGGCCCGGCCGCATCCCGGTCCCGGGCTGAGGGGCGACCCATATGCGGTGCTCCCCGCTCCGAGCCCTGGGACCCTGCCCAGTCACCTACCGGCCGAGCGCCGATCTCCCCAAGCAGGACTGTCGCGCTCCCCTCGCGCTCCCCTCGCCCGCGATCTCCCGCCGCCGGCTGCCGACCGCTGTTCTCGGGGCCCACGGTCGCCCCGCCCCCGCTTCGGGCCCCACCCCCTGGTCGCCTTCCCGGTCGCCCCCGGGGCCACGCCTCCCCCGGCGGCGGCAAATTTGCCTGGGTTCGCACCTCCCACTCTGGCCGCACCTCGACCCCATTGTCCCGCCCACCCCACCAACCTAACCAATGAGATGGCGCGTCTCGGCTACTGCCTCGAGCAACGATTGGTAGCGAGAGCGCGTTTCCAGAAATGGGCACTATTTCCGGACAATGTTTATAGTGAAGACGTCGGTGGGCGGATGGATTGACAGGAGGCGGAGGCGGCGGGAGTTTGGTCTAACCACACATGCGCTCTCGGCTTCGGCAGTTTTTTCACGGGTTGCGTTCTTACGGGAAGTAAGAGTGAATATGCGCATGCGTGGGCACTCCCAGCCCGGGACTTCGGTTACCTTGGAGACGGCGAGGCGCTCTCCCTACTTGGCCAAGTTCTGCTTCCTCTGCTCGAGGTCTCGATGGCTGAGGCCGGTCGGCGCGGGGTGCGCGCGCGTGGTGGTGCTGGTTAGAAACATTTTTATTGAGCACTTACTCTGTTCAGGGCTGGAGAGTTCCCGAGCACTAGTAAGACAGGTTCTAGTTCCTGCCCTCGAAGAACTTGGGGAGCCAAAGGCCTACACAGGTCAGACCTGTGTGTTGAAACCCAAGTCTGATGAGAGCGGGTGGATGGCATGGTGCAACCCCATCCCGCAGCCAGAGAAGCAGCGTGGTGCGAGCGCTGCGTGAAGCTTCTCCTTGGTGGGTTGACAGAACTAGGTTACAGAACCAGGAAGAAGATTGTACCTGGACCTGTGCACAAAAAGGACCAAGGTGTCAACCGTGCTTCTTTCCGAATGCGAGGGTTAGGTGGACAGGAGGCATTTAGGGGCGGTATGGACATTTTTTCTTTTTGAATATTTGCTTACCTGTATTTTCATTGATCTTGTATTTTATTTGTAATAAAGAAAAAAAATTCCCAAACTTTAAAATAGTTTGCAAAATGGAAAAGATATGTCTCTACCTGGGCACCCTACCTACCCCCATCAGTGGTCCACAGCAGGCAGGTGTGGTTACTGACTCTAATAGGTAGGCCCTGTCCAAAGCTGTTTTGGGAATAAGGATCATCTCATCGCTGGAAGTGTTGCTCAAGACCACTTTTCAGACATTCCTTGGTAGTTCAAAGCCTACTTCTGGTGATCTACACTCAACAGACATCTCCCTTGTTGGGGTGTAGGAAAGACCATTCATTTAGGCAGAGGACAAAAACTCACAACCTAAAGGCCTTGCCAACGCAGTCATGCCATAAATATTTGTTTGGCTAGCCCAGTGTGTGTGTGTGTGTGTGTGTGTGTTTAAATTTGAATTTGAATGCCTTAGGGTAGAGCCTGCAGTTTCTCACAGCCCCTGGCCTTAGGTCTTACACCCAACCATTAAACCTTATGTCATCTGTCTGGATCCTGAAGCATTCCAGACTGTGGCCCTGATAGAGCCTTGCTTTGGAGCTGAACAGTCTCTGGTACATCAACTGGCTGTGCCACTGACCAGCTTGCAAGATGGCGGGCAAGAAGAAAGCTGGTAGCCCCTAAAGCTCCTTCGAACCCCTGAGTTTCTATTTTTTTATTTTTTTTTATTTTATTGATTTTTTTACAGAGAGGAAGGGAGAGAGATAGAGAGTTAGAAACATCGATGAGAGAGAAACATCGATCAGCTGCCTCCTGCACATCTCCAACTGGGGATATGCCCGCAACCCAGGCACATGCCCCCGATCGGTATCGAACCTGGGACCCTTCAGTCCGCAGGCCGACGCTCTATCCACTGAGCCAAACCGGTTTCGGCGAACCCCTGAGTTTTTTCATTGCAGTGACTCAGGGAGAGGCGGAGCTTGGCCAGATGGTGGGTTACAGGTTGGTATCAGCAAACCTGGATGCAGAGCTTGGCGCTCTCACCACCTGTTTGCCTCTGGGCATACCACTTCTCAGGAAAGACGTGGGCACAGGCCCAGATCTGCAGATGCTCCCTGGCTCGCCTTTGCATTATCCTTTTATCACCATTCCTTCTTTAGGATACCCAGGGCCCACATACTTCCCTGACATTTCTTTGGGTCCCTGCCTGCCCACATCCACTCTATCATGGTTATCTGCCTTTAAATCTATCCATTAACACTAATGTGTATTAGTGGGAGATAGTGAGCATGTTGACTCAAATATGCGGCTCCAAGAAGGGATTTCTCAGCAGGCTGCAGAGAAACAAACCACTAGAGGCTAGTGAGGAAGGTGATATGGGATAAGAAGGGTCTCAGAATTTCAGCTCTTTTTCTCAGGCCTTTCCAAACCCCAGCATGTGTGGGGTGAGGTGAGAAACAGCACTACACCCACTCTGAGTGAGCACCTTGAAATGCTGGCACCTTCTGGAAGGAGAGCTTAGGGCAAAATTACTTCCTCCCAGTCCAGCCAGTTAAGTCAGGACAACCTAAGGCTTCTAGCCCTGAGTCACTTGTGCAGCCTCAGCTCTGCTTTAAATAAAAATAAACCAACATTGACTGGGTGACTCACACCTGGAGTCGTGAGCCAGGTTCTCAGCACTAAAGGATTTCCACATCCCACCTCAACGGTTCACGTCTGGAGACAGAAGGGTAAGATTGTGTCCTTCCAAAAAGAAGAGCAGCTTCTGTTTTTTGAGAGCTTACAAAAAATAAATCAGACACTTCTAAGTGCTTTGTGTGCTTAACGTCTGAATATTCACTCTAGTCCAGGGTTTCCTAACCTGGCCCTCTTAACAATTTGGATTGGATGGGGTTTGGGGTGATGGGGTGTGGGGGGTAGGAACTGTGATATACATTGTAGGATAGTTAAGAGCATTCCTGGCTTCTGCTCACTAGATGCCAGTAACATCACCCCCCCGCCCCCCGCCCCAAACTCAGTTGTGACAACAAAAAATGTCTCTAGACATTACCAAATGTCCCCAAGGGAGCAAAATTGCCCCCAGTTGAGAACTCTTACAATCTAACCCCATAGAGTAGGTACTATAATTATCCCCACTTCTGAGACTCAGAGAGAACTAATTTGCCAAAGGTCATTTTACTGTAACAGAAGACCTGGGATTCAAACCAGTGTGGCCCCAGGGTTCCTGCTCTCCTGCATATAGGACTCTACAAAAGGACTTTGGACTTTAAGGAGTCCATTGCCCATCAGTTCTACACAAGAGTAATGAAGGGTGAATGAATTTTGTGCATCAGTGAGAGAATGTTATCCTTGGATCATTTTCCCTTTTCTGCTTGCAAGAAAGGAAATTGTATTCTGGTTTTTACTGCCTTAGTCAGCACAGTTCATGGTGTCCAGCCATGTTTAGTGAGAAACTGGGTAATGAATCATCTGAGTGTCTGTGGACCTGAGGCCCCAAATTCCTGTGAGATCCTAGAATTACACTTGAGAAGAACTCAGATGTAAGATAGAGATGATGTCACTGCCCTCCTCCCTGGCTTGGACCTGCCCCATTGCTACCACCCAGTCTAGAGTTATATGGAGGGGCAAGGAGGCAGGAGAGGAAATAGATGTAGGCAGTGGTGTGCTGGAGTTCTCTTCCTACTCTGCAGTCAGTGACAATTTCATGTTGGTAGCTTGAAATCAGAAACGATGGGCGTATTTACACCATGGAAATTGGCAAACAGTATAAATCAGGACTACCCACCCTCAACCTGTTAAACATTTACCAGAATACCATTGCATGCAGATTCTGGTCTCGGACTGACCCCCTCCAATTCTGCCCCCGCTCCCCCTATGGAGGAACATGGTAAACTATAGAACTATCAGAGAAGAGGAGGAGCCATGTGATGTGGGTGAAGAGAAGAGGTGCCAATCTCTTCAAAGGATGGAGTTGCCAGGGTGGGGGTCTCCATGAAGGCACTTGGGAAAATATACCTGACTAAGACCAGGTCCTGGACTTACCTTTCTGAGACCCCTCCCAATTTTGAAGCCTTCTTAGGGGGTCCTGGGTTAAGAATTGACTCAAATTCTTCTCACTTCCTCGTTGGTTATCCCTTCTAGTCTCCTCGCCACATCATCCTCAAGCCTTCTGGTGGATTTATTCCTCCTAGACCACTTGGGTGATGTGTTCTGCCCCATTGTCCTCACAACTTCTCCCCTTTAGCTTCTTCCTCTTAATTTCCAAATGTGCTCAAGTCTCTGCAACCTAAAAACAGACAAATAAAGAAAAAAAATTCTTCCTCTGTCCTGGCTTTTCCTTACACTGTTGGCCCAACCTTTCTTCCCCTCTCAGTTCCCAAGTCTCTTGGTCCTCCTTGCATCTGTTTCAATTGCCACTTGCATGTACCCCTTGCCATCTGGTTTCTGGCCACCACCCCTTCTCTCCATGGACACCCACTAATTGCTTCCTAGTCAGATAACCTCATCTCAGCTCTCATCTGCAGTCAGTCACAAACGTGATGCTCTGAGCACCTACTAACTATGTCAGGCACTGGGGAGTGTGGAATTTCAGACCAGTTCCAGCCTTTAGGGAGCTTCCAGTGTCGTGGGTGGGTAGACCTTGAACAAGTGACTACTGATGAGGACTTAATAAGTCATTCCAGATGATGAGGGTGATGAGAGAATGGACAGTGTGTACTATATTAGGCAGGGCCCAACCAGGGAAGCAGAACTCACTCTGAGTTTTTAGACATGGAATTGAATGCAAGGATTGGTCACACAGACGATGGAAGAGTTGAGAAGCCCAGCAGGAGGAGATGGTGAAGTAACCATGAATCCACTACTACCCCTGGGGTGGAGGGACTTTAGGGGAACGCAGTGTAGTCAGTGGCTGGAGGCCAGGGTCACTGATAGAAGTTGGAACTACAGAGGAGACACAATCACTTTCATAGACACGACTCAAGACTGAGAGGGGTGAAGATTCTCCGTTCCTTCCACCCTCTGGCCTCCTCAGTGCAGGGGTTAGTTGCCTGTGGTACCGAGCAGAGCAGAGAAAGGGAGGGCCAACCCAGG